ATGTGTGGGTCTGGGGCTTGTTGGAGTTTCTCACAGTCCGTAGCCAATGGACGAGCTCGGGGGACAATGGGGAAGCTGGGATTGCCACATGCTCAATGAAGTGCTTATTGCCGGGGACAATGGCCGTCTCTCTGGGGAACAGGTGGAGGGGAGGGGGCGATGACGAGTGACTCACAGGGCGCTGTGTGAATCTGGGAAAGTGGTGACCCTGTAAAGAGAGCAGGCCTGCTGCCTGGTGATGGGATCAATGACACTGTAACAACACAGTACTAATATTTGCCGTGTATGTGACACAACCCAACATGTTTTCTCAAAGCTTTAAAATGTGTTTGACCTTAGATCTTGCTGTAGGTGTTCAATGACTATAGCAAAGCCAAATTACTGGTGCAGTGCTGCTGTTTGACCTGCAGTAAAGGTACTTCAATAAAATACCCAGTGTCTCCAGAATTTGTCTTGTTGTAGAAGTGGGCTCCCGATTGTGATTCATGCATCCATTGCCTAACCTCTTATTCCCATTCAGGAAGCTGGAGTCTATCCTGGCAAGCAACAAGATCAAGGCAGGGTACATCCTGAATGGGATGCCTGCCCATCGCAGACCAATTCCCCCAAAAGCTGATTAACTCAGTTATCTGCCATGTTAACAAACACTCCATTTCAAGATTTGAGCTGCTTTCTATATCTTACACAAAATCCATGTGCTTTGTACTGTTGTCAAGTTGTTGATGTGTTGATCTAATTCTGTACGATTGTTTAATACAGCTTTTAAACGAATACTATGAATTGTCATGCAGGATAAAGTCATTTGGACACAGTGGCATGTTACACTGAGGTGCTTCTTCTGAGAGGGATATGTACATGCAAGTAGCTTTTCTACTCTAAAGCTTTGAGGTTAATCTGACGTGCTAAAATGGTACAAAACGTAGTTGTTGTGAATGGTATTGTGTATTAGCATATAAATGACAAAATATAATGTAAAAAATGAGAATACGTCAAGCAGTGGATCAGAGAGCTGCAGTGTGTCCAGATGTCACAGATGTGTCTCCAGGCTTGTGGCTGGTCCGCACTGTGAGTAAAAAGCTGCTCAGGGTTTCCCACACTGTGCTCTGTGTGCTGTGCTCCCTGCACAACAAAAGCAGCCGTGTGTGCTGAATGAGACATTAGTGACGGTGATTGGCTGTGTATTGTGGGTCAGCCACAGCCTGACTTCACACACCATCTGGACTGAGAGGAGATCAATATTGTATCAATACATCTCTACCTCCAGCCTTCAAGGAGTGTTATGTTAGAATTGTAAAACCTCATTGAGAGGTTTGGTATTTGTAAGGCCTCCTTTAGAATATTGTGTACAAATATTGTGGTCACCACAATATAGGAAGGATATTGCTCCTTTGGACCAGGTACAATCTGGGGTTTCAGGGGATATCCATCGCTGACAGGCTGAAGGAAATGGATTTTTGAACAGAGAAAAATATGAGCCAGTTCTTTATCCAAAGGGTTGAGGGTGTGTGAAACGAGCTACCCAGCCATGTGGTTGAAAATGATCCCCTGACGTCTTTTATAAAATGGCTATTTGAGATCAGTAGGTCAGTTACCTACTATCTACCAAACAGGCTAGATAGGACAAATGATCTCCTCTCATTTTTAACCTTTCTAATGGTCTTACTGCTGTGTCTAGGATGTTTCATAGGAACATATGAAACCATGGTAGGGGGACAGCAGAACTAAACATGTGGCTCTCACGTATGAGAATGAAATGAAATCTAGTCAGGAAACTGGGCTCCCAGTGATTCAGTGACTTAACTGCACTGGTTATTTAGGGGTGTCTCTATTTACCCTGTTACCTGAAACTATATTACATACAATGTTAAAAATTCTATGTTTTCACTGTAATCCCCTAAAATGTTTTCTCTGTACTCCATTGCTTATCGAGGGGCTCTTCTCATACTCCCTCCCCTGCTCACTTTGTCCACCCAGAGAAGATGTTGCCCAGATGCTGGTGGGATGATTGAGGAATCCTAAAGACGCTGGAACTGTGACTGTGCTCTCCAGAGCTTTCCCACACTCTGCCCATTGACAGAGCGCTCACTGCAACAATAGAAGTGTGCCTTGTCAGATGCTAATTCACTTAGACAAGCAGATGTTGACAAGACTCTCAGGGACCAAGCTTATCCGCTAAATACAGTTTAATAAAGGACTCAGTGAACACAACAACTTACAAAGAGCAAAGTCTAGGTAAAGTGTGCTTTTAAGATAATAAGCTTTAGATAAAAATGCACAGAATTCTTTCTACACACTTGATCAGCACTCTGTATCATTAAGTTTAAACTTGAGCAAAGAAATCAGATTTAAAGAGTGAATGGGATGTGGACTGGAATTTGTGAAAGATTATATTAATTGCTGAGATATGCCTTTCCATTCTGATTGGAATGATTCTGATTCTGAAAATCTGAATTTTCAATATGAGGTGTTATAAATAAAACAGTAAGTGTCAAGAACTTTACCTGCAAAGTTAAAAAATGACTGAAATCTGCTAACAAAAACAAGTTTTGTAGAACAGTAAAACAGAGTATTCATTGAGAATGATCTTTTGGAAGACTATGAATGCCGGGTTGAGGAAGGTCTTTAAATTCCTTTCCCTGAGTGCTGTGCTGTGCTACATGGGGCTTTCCAAGCACATTGGATCTGACCTCCTGCATATGAAGAGAATTTCAATGTTGTAGAAAGTGTGCCAAAGGAATTACAGCACTGTGTTTGACAGTTTCAACCCTGTTGCCAAACAATTGAGTCGCAAGCGATTCAGTGTGTGTGCTGCTCTTGCCCACACTGACCCAGAGGAGCTAACAGTGGCTCTCTGAGATGAAGCTGGACAGATAGATACTGTGAAGTAAGCCTGGGCCCAAGCCAGCCGTGACAGAAGTAACATTCAAAATGTCAGAACTCTCCTTTCTAAATGACGTACTTTCTCTAAGACCGAAACTAATCAGTGAATCACACCCCCTATCCCTGCAGGCTGTTGTGTGGGGGTCACTCCATTAGTATCGGCCCACTGGGACTCTGAGAGTGAGTTTTCCTCTGTTTCTCACACTCTCTCCATTCACTGAGTGAAGAGGGGAGACAATAGAAGTGTGTCTTTATTACACATCACATTAGCGACGGTGTTTGATCTGCCATTGTGGGGGCAAAGATGCCTCATCCCCAGGAGACCATATGGGACCAAAGTGTCATTGTGCAGCTTCAGTCAGACCCCAGAAACCTGTGTCAGTGCAGATGGATTTAATATGCAACACATTTATACTCCTGGTGCCTTTTTGGCGGTAAACCAGGAGATGTGAGGATGTTTGTATAGAAATTTAATAATGACAATGTTATGTCACAGGCATTAGGGAGCTGACACTAACCTAGTGAGGTTAAGGTTACCTGAGAGAGAACCAGGATAAAACTGGTAAACAGGGCCTTCACAGTAAAAAGAAAACTTATTCAAGCTGGCTGGATTCAATAGAACATGTTAAATTCCAAAAGCACTTTATTCCTGAAAGGTACTACTGTTACATGCCTTGCAGTTCAATTGAACTTTTCAACAGTTGATTGTTAAAACGTTTACCATGAGTGCAATTTTAACTCTAAACGTGCTCGGAAAAAAGAGCCTGAGGTAAATGAATTAACACATATACAGTATGTCTTTAACTGGTTAATACATCACAAGGCATCTGTTTAAGCAAAACACGCTTCAGGGTTTTAAGGATCTGTTTAATCCTCGTTGGCTTCAGACACAGTAACAATGTTGATTTTGAACACTTCTACAGGATAAAAGAGTTCCTCCGGTGTGTTATTCTGTGGGCAGACTCAGGAGACATTG